AATGGCCAGACTTCGTCTCACCTATTTTGGTCATGTTGTCAGAAGGGACCATTCCCTGGAGAAGGATGTCATGCTTGGTAGGGTGGAGGGTAGACGAAAGAGGGGGAGGCCTTCAACGAGATGGATTGATATGGTGGCTGCAATGATGAGCTCAAATATAGCAGGGATTGTGGGGCTGGTGCGGGATCGGGCAGTGTTTTGTTCTGCTGTACATGGGGTCGCTATGAGTCGGAAACGACTCGACGGCACTTAACAACAACAACAACAACAACAACTTCTATAAAGATGTACCACCTTGGAAACCCAGTGGGGGTGACTATGAGTCAGAATGAACTCGATGGCAATGAGTTTGGTTTTTGATTTTTATTTAATGAAGAGACTCTTCTTTCCCTATCAAGTGAATTTAACACCCTTGTCAAAAATCGGTTGACCATATATATGTGAGTTTATTTCTGTTGGTCTATGGATCTGTTGTTATATCAACACCAGGCTATTTTGATTACTATAGCTCTACAGTACGTTTTAAAATCAGGAACTGTGAGTCCTCCAACTTCTTTTTCTCTTTTGGCGTTGTTTTAGCTGGTCAAAGTCTCTTGCCCTTCCATATAAAGTTGAGGATTATTTTTTCTCTTTCTGTAAAGAAGAGTGTTGGAATTTTGATTGGGATTGCATTGAGTCTGTAGATTACTTTGGGTGGTATTGACATCTTAACAATATTCAGCCTTCTGATCCATGAACATACAACATCTTTCCATTTATTTAAGTCTTCTTTAATCTCTTTCATCTGAGTTTTAGAGTTTTCATTATATAAGTCTTTCACATCCCTGGTTAGATTTATTCCTAGATATTTTATTCTCTTAGATACTGTTGTGAATGGAATTGTTTCCCTAATTTCTTTTTCCAGTTTCTCATTGCTGGTATATAGAAACACAACTGATTTTGTTTATTGACCTTATACTCTACAACGTTGCTAAATTCCTCTATTGGCTTTACAAGTTTCCTTGTGAAGTAGATCACATTTTAATACACCAGTAAATATATGAGGAAAAAAAAAAAAAAAAAGTCATCTGCAATGGCAGAAAAAATTCAAAAGTGGTTGTCTTGTAAAAACTGTTACCAAAAGTTTTCAGGTAGTCATTAAGTTTTACACACATGTGAAAAGATAATAGCATCCTTCAGAGTAATGCGAAATAATGCTGTACAGTTACAGATGACTTGTTACGGGGCAGGCGTGAGTTCTAGAAGTACTCTTCCGTACCAAGGAGCATTCGCTCTACTAAAGCAGGGTGCAAGTACTGACACTTAAACAGAATCAGAAACCACTGGGGTTGCTTGTGTGTTTGCTGGTAAAGGAAAAATTACTAAATTCACCTCAAATAAAACATAAGTGCCCTTTTTATCTGTTACTTCTCAGTTAGTTAACACAGGGTCACTGTGTTATCCATGCCTAACATTGCAAATCAAGTAGGTCCACAGGACAAGTGTTGAATAAATGGATATTAATGGTAGTGTTTTCAGTTTGAGAGGCAGTGTGGGTGGTAATGTCAGTAATCAAATAAAAAATGGGAGAAGGAACAGATTTGAAGGGTGGAGGGAGACTTTGAAGAATCTTCAAGAGATCCAAGGAGAGATACTCGTTTCATCTTTCAAATTTTAGAGAAAACAAATAATATTTTGGGACAGCTGTAAGTCATCATGTGCAAAACTGAAGAGAATTTTTTTTAAAAAATTAAACAGAATATGCCATTGCATGGGGTATTACAGGATATAAAGATCAGTAAAGGGAGAGATCACGTAGGGTTAAAGAAACTGCAGGATGGATGATGAGTTGACCAGTGTTCTAGGAAACCTGGATTTATGAACTTGGTGGTTTCATGGCTATAGTGATATTTTATTAGAGTCTTCTGTTAAGGTTCTAACGTGTAATTTGGTAAATTGTGGTACATTCAATTACTGAAGCATTGATTTGGCAATAGCCTGATTTTACTTTGATGAAATCCTAGCAAGAGCTTACCCTAGCAGGAATTTACATTCAACTCTTGGGTTCTTATGTATAAATGGAATGGTTATATCCAAAAGTGCAAATTGTTCTTGAGGCCAGAACTTCATTTTCAGTATATAGTGAAATGTGGCTATTTTTTGTTGTTGTTGTTGCTATAATGCATTTAAGGAGCTCTGGTGGCTCAGTGGTAAACGCATTCAGTTTCTAACCAAAAGGTCAGCAGTTCAAACTAGCAGGAGAAGGATGAGGTAGTCTGTTTCCATAAAGATTTACAGCCTTGGAAACCCTATAGAGCAGTTCTACATGGTCCTGTAGGGTCGCTATGATTCAGGATTGCCTTGATGGCAGTGGGTAGATGGGTATAATGGGTTTGTTACCTTCTGTTACCAGCTCTTCTCATTTTTCCAACTCACTTTTCTGTTTGACAGTAGAATGTCAGAAGAGCTCTGGCAGCGTTGTAGATAAGGCATTTGGCTGCTAACTAGAAAGTCAGCAGTTTAAACTCACCAGCCACTCCGCAGAAGGAAGATGGGGCAGTGTACTTCCATAAGGATTTACAGCCTCAGAAACCCGGTGAGGGTCATTATGAGCAGTAATCGACCCGACAGCAGTGAGTTTGCTTTTGGTGTTTGGGTGTAGAGGATCGTGGAAAATATAAGGCTCTGCCTTTGTGCAGAGTCTTTGGAGGAAAGAACAGCCTCCATCCTCAGCTTGCCCTGGAAGCTCAATCTGATCACCAAAATGCCCTCTGAGCTGCTTCTAAGCCTCTGGCAAACTCCTGCAGGTTCGAGAAGGGCCTCACAGGACTGTGCTCTGTTCGCAGGTGGTGCCCATGCTCCCCAGGCTGTTGTGTGAGGAGCTGTGCAGCCTCAATCCCATGACTGACAAGCTGACCTTCTCCGTGATCTGGACACTGACTCCAAAGGGCAAGGTAACAATGTGCAGCCATCCCATTCCAGGAGCACCGAGTAAGCGCTGAGTGTGTGCCGGTAACTCAGCTAAAGTCCTGTGGTGATAGGATGAGGGAGTTACGGGACAGCTAATGAAGAGAAGAACCTGGAAGAGCCCCTGCCTCTAAACACTGTCAGTCTCACTTAGAAGGCAAGACTTACCGTAAGCAGAAAGGCAATACAACAAAAGTGTGTGACCAGCATAATATCACTAAAGACAAGGAGGACATGGAGAGGTGCACAGGAGGTACAGATAACAAAGATAAATACGATCACATGCACAACACTGCATTATCAGTAGTAAGAAACACTAATCTACGTTACATTGGTGCATTGGTAGACAGGCAAGAAGATTAGATATGAGTAGGCGAAAAGGAATATACCTGTAACCATACACAGGTTTGGCAGATGATATTCCTACATGAGTATTTGTGTGTGCTATAAAAATGTCCATATACATTGTAGAGCTAACAGGAAACAAGGATAACTTCTTAGCCGCAGTCAGGCACCCTAAGGGCGTGAGTCACTGGGTCTGCAGGCTCAGAACCCTGGTGGGGGACAGCAAGCTCAATTGGCACAACACGGTACACAGAAACACTGTTCTCCATCCTACTGGAGTGAGTTGTGAGTGGGGTCTTGAAAGCTTACAGATAGCCATCTAAGATGCAACTGTTGATCTCTCCTTATCTGGAGAAAAGGGTGAAAAAAATCAAAGATGCAAGGGCCTAATGGACCACAGGAACCTCAGCCTACACAACTAGATGGTGTAGCTACCAATGCCACTCACTCGGAGAGGGTCCAAAGTTAGCGATCCCTGGATGGAGCAAGAGAAAAATGTGGAGCACAATTCAAAAACATCAAAAGGCCACCATTACTGGTTGGATGGAGACTAGAGAGACCCCCAAGACTATGGCCTGGGTTATCCTTTGGGTCTGGAATTGGACTAGTTCCTGTGGGTTGGCTCCCAGCCAAACATTAGAACTATGAGCTGAATAACTACACGAGGGAGATGCACTCCTTAGTACAGTCAGGTGTGGGAGATCGAAAGGGCAGCCTTTACACAGGGAGAAAGCTAGGCAGTCAGGAATGCATAGGTGAGGAGGACACAAGGAAGGAGTAACCACAGGGAAGAGGTGGGAGACGAGCTACTTATATTGTGGGGACTATAATCGGTGTCATGAAACAAATGTGTGTGAACCATTGAGTATAAAACGAATCTGCTTTGTAAAACTGCACCCAAATCACAGTAAAAAATTAAAAAACAAGAAATACCCTAAGCAATAAGAAACCAGTCTTTTCTTGTATGTTATCAGGTGAAGGCAAAAACTGGGCAGTCAAGAGTGACATGAGGAAGGCTTAGTGGAGGAGGTAGGGCTTAAGTGAAGGTGGCTGTGGATTGGCAGAGGCTGTTTGAAGGAGGACCATTGGGGAAAAGGCAGATAGCTCAGGTAGGTGGTGTAGAGTAAAACTATGGAGAATCTCGGTGCCAGTCTGCAAAAAGGGCAAGGAGGAGGCCACATGTTCTGACCTCCTCTAATCCCACAAGAGGAAGACAGAGTCATCATCAATAACCCAAGGCCTATTCCTGCCAGGCCAGACGTGCTGCCTCCCTCCAGCCCTTTCTCCAACCGTTCCTCCCAAAGCACCCACCACCTCTCTCCTGGGTTCGATAATTCACTGCAGCAACCACACAGAACTCACAGATTATGGAGTTTACTAGGAAAGCACCAGGCTACAATTCAAGTTCAGGAAAAATGCTCAGTCTCTCTCCCAGCCCACCGTCCCTCAGCCAACAGTCTCTCACAGTCTCTTTCCCAGCAGTGCTGGTCCTTACAGTGCTCGGTGTCTTAATCAGCAACGCGTGTCTCTTGTGTTTCTTTCCCAGCAGCACGTGCCTCTTTCAGTAGTGCGTGTCTGTTTCAGCAGCACGTCTTCCTCAAGTCAGAGAGAGAGTTCTGCCTCTAGGAGGCCTCCTTTTGAGCCTGGCAGAGTGGTCAAACTAGCCAATCATAGCATCAGAACTCTAAGCACTTGAGAGTGAGCCTCCCATAACATTGTGTTGTGCCACGCCCAACAGAAATAACCCAGGTGGATGACATTTACAATCAGGAGCTCCTCAGATGCTCATTCCACCACTGAGTTTACAATGACTTATGGGTAAAAAAGCCATACTAAGTAATTTACTACACTGCACAGTCGCAGACGTATTACAGGTGTTGGGTTGCTCTGAATGCCATGAGAAAGGTGCCATTTTAGAAAGGTAAATGCTGCATCGTTGTGTAGGATGGACTGGCAGTTTGAGGATGAATTAGCCAGGCAGTGCCTTAATCAAGACGCACGGTGATGAAACCATGACTAGAAACAGAGAGAAGAAAAATGTCAGAAAACATTTGTCAGCTTCCTAAATATAAAAACAGGAAAACCAAACCCACTGCCATCAAGTTGATTCCGACTCATAGCGACCCCCATTGGGTTTCCATGGTGGTAAATCTTTATGGAAATAGATTGCCCAGTCTTGCTCCCATGGAGTGGCTGGTGGGTTTGAACCACCAACCTTCTGGTTAGCAGTCAGATGCCTTAAGCATAGTGCTACCAGAGCTCCTTTTCCTAAATATAGGGAATGAATATGATCAGCGAAAAATGACTTCCGGAAAATCCAGCCCTCTACCCCAAGCACAAACGACTCTATAAACATCCAAAGTGGGATGATGACCAAAGTATGGTACCTCCTCCATGGAATGGTCTATAGTTACTAAAACTGTTTACAAAGACCACGTTAAGAACATGGGAAATACCTGCTGTAACATTAAATGAAAGATTAAAAAAATACTTAATTATAAAGAGGCTCCAAATAAAGGTGTAGGATTGAATACCCACAGTTACGTTCATCGCCTCCCAAAACCTCACTGAAACAACAGTGTGGCAAGTTTTTTAAAGGCATAAACCCACAAGGACAAAGAGAGTGGGAGAGGAGACAACAGCAAGATGTTGGAAGGGACGGCTGAGTGGTAACTGACTTAGCAGCCCTGAGAAAGCTGGACCTTGAGCCAGCAAGAGAGAAAGCCAAGCACCAACCAGTTTACACAGCAGACCCCTAAAAGGCATTCAGAAATCCATAGTACAGGCAACTCTGAAAGGTGGGAGAGGGCCAGGTGAAAATGAGGCTAATAACAATGTTGGTTGAAGGCTTATATAGAAAGATTGCCCTGTCCTAAGTCAGCAGAAGACCAGAAATGTCTTCTCTGGACACCGAACACAGTAGATGGTAGAGTAAGATTTAGTGAATGTTTGCAAACTGAATGTTAAGATTCCCAGCTTGCTTTTGCCAATCAACCCCAGAATTCTCATAGCCAGGCCTATGCTGCTGAGATAGGAAATGGGGAATCTTCTCTGAGGAGTCTGAGTAGTGAAGAATAAAGACTTAACTGACCTCGAGGACCTCCCAATCAGCAGCCCAGCTGTATCTCCCCAGATTAAAGCTTACAGGCGGTAAGCTTCACTACAGTCCAAGCTTTTTAGTATTTTACTAACTATCAGTTTTTTACTATTTTACTTTTGTGTATGAGGAGACAACCAAGAAAAAAGCAAACAGAGGAAAAACAACTCGGACCAGACAGACTATCCCGGGAAAAGAAAGCTATCATTTATATCCTCAGAGAAATTTTTGAAGGGAGGTAGGGAAAGAGTATTATGTCACAGGTATAGTTGCTTCACAAAAGAAGCATTGAAAGACCAAAAGGGTGCTCTTGGGAATTAAAATGTGATAGAAGGAAAGAGGAAACAAGATTCTGATGAGAAGATAAAGTTGAAGGGTTGTCCTCGAAAGGGATAGAGAAGACAGGAAACTTAGAGGACCAGTCCAGGATCACCACATTTGTTCAATGGGCATTTCAGAAGCAGAGCCAAGAAAGCAGGGGAGGGCATGATCCACAAAGTAATTCAAGAAAATACCCCATTACTGGAGGATAGGACTTTCCAGAGGAGGGTAGGAGTTTTCCAGAAAGAGTCCACTGCTCAGCACACTGGTGGAGACACACCAGCATAAATTTCAGAACACGGGGTACAAAGAGAAGATCTCACAGGCCTCTAAAAAGGAAGGGGGCAGGAGGGAGCATCATGTACAATAGATGAAAGCGCAGAATAAATTCAACCTCTACCACAACCGAGAAGGTAGATGACAATGAAGCGAAGCTTCCTAATTCCTGAAAGACTGATTCCGTGCTAGAATTTCTTATCCAGCTACCAGTCAGATGTGAGGGTGGAAAAAGACATTTCCAGACATACAAGGTCTCAGAAAACTTACCTCCTGTACAGCCTTTCTCAGGAAGTTACCAAAGGGTGTGCTTCACCAAAATGAGGGAGTAAATCAAGAAAGAAGAAGGCACAGAACCCAGAAAACAAATGAGCTATCACAGGAGAGAAGTACAGGAAGTCACCTGGATCAGCTGATTGCTTTTCCCGTAAAAAGCCAGACAGTAAATGTTTCCAGCTTCTCAGGCCGTTAGTGTTTCTCTTGCAACTAGTCATCTCTGCCCACAAAGGCAGCAATGTTGTTGTCATCGTTAGGTGCCATCGAGTTGATTCCGACTCATCGTGACCCCACGTACAACAGCAGAAGCCATAGAAGATCCATAAATGGATAAAAACAAGTCACACACATTATAGTTGGTTTTTACGGCTCTTAAATATCTGATAAAACGTTAAGAGCAAAGAGACAAACATCTGAAATACAGAAAAGGAATTATAAGGACAATTTGCCAGCAATCATATTTTGGTGGGGTTGGGAGCAGGAATAAAACAAAATGCCAATAGTGGTTGTAGTTGAGTAATGAGACTATGAGTAATTTTTTCTTTTTCTTTTCTAATGTTTATTGAAAAGATCTGTTACTTTTATATTTTTACAAATGCTTATTTTTGTAAAAGTTTAACTAAATAGAAAATAAATGCCAGAGAAGAAAACTAATGGAGTCAATAGAAAAGA